GGGTGAGGGGCTGAGGGCCGTTTTCAGGCTGGCCACGCCCCCTGGCGACCCAAGCTCCCAGCCTCTCCTTTTTTTTTTCTTTTTTTCTGGGATTTGTTTATCTTCTATAATTGAAACTTTGTAGCCTTGAGCGGAGCCGAGGGCCGGCCAGGCAGGCGGGAAGCTTGGCTTCCTCCATCACTGGGGGCAACCCAAGCCTCCTGCTTGCTCCAGCTCCATGGCCGCTGCCATCTTAGTTGGGTTAATTTGCATACTTGCTCCTGATTGGCTGGTGGGCTTGGCTGGTGGGCGTGGCTTGAACATAGTGGAGGGATGGTTAATTTGCATGTTTCTCTCTTATTATATAGGACTAAAGGCCTGGTGCACGAAATTCGTGCAATGGGGGTTCGGGGTTCCCTCAGCCCAGCCTGCCCCTCTCACAGTCCGGGAGCCCTCAGTGGATGTCCTACTGATGGCCACAGTCTGGCAGCAGAGGCTCGGAGCAGGCGTCCCGTGTGTGTGTGTGTGTGTGTGTGTGTGTATGTGTGTGTGTGTCCCCACTGGGGTTCTGCCCCCAGCCACATTGGAGGCTCAGAGCAGGCCCTGTGTGTGTGTGTGTGTGTGTGTGTGTGTGTGTGTGTGTCTGCTGGGGGCCTGCCCCCAGCCACACCATGGAGGCTTGGAGCAGGAGCCCCTCTGTGTTGATCTCTCAGGCTCCTGGCCTCCACTGCATGTTGTACTCTCCCTTGAGCTATGGCCAGGATGGGGGTGCTGCTTGCAAGCCGGGCTTTCCTGCTCCAGGATCGCCATGGTGACGGGGGAGCAGGCCCAGCTGGGGGCTGTCCACAGGCCGGGCTTTCTAGCTTCCAGGTCTCCATGGCGACCGGGGAGCAGGCCCAGCTGGGGGCTGCCTGCAGGCCGGGCTTTCCTGCTCCTGGATCAGGCTCAGCTTGGGGGTGCTCTCAGGCCGGGCTTTTCCTGCTCTCTGATCAGGCGCAGCTGGGGGCTGCCTACAGGCTGCACTTTTCTACTTACCGATGGCCGGATCACCACAGCGACCCAGGGCCCAGCGGCACTTTCTTGCTCTCCAATAGTCATAGGGTCCCTGGCTGGGGGCCGGGCTAAGCAGTGCGGGGCTTAGGCGGCATGGGGGTCCAGGCTTGGGGCTCAGTTGGCACATAGGGGTCCCGGCTGGGGGCGGGGCTTATGCCCCACTGCCAAGGGCTGCACATGGAGCTCGGATGGCAGCTCACGCTGTCCCGCCCTGCCTGTAGTATAGGATAGAGGCCTGGTGCACGGGTGGGGGTCGGCTGGTTTGCCTTGAAGGGTGTTCCGGATCAGGGTGGGGGTCCCGCTTGGGTGCCTGGCCAGCCTGGATGATGGGCTGATGGCTGTTTTTAGGCTGCCCGCACCCCCTTTAGGGTGGGGGTCCCCACTGGGGTGCCTGGCCAGTCTGGATGAGGGGCTGAGGGCCGTTTTCAGGCTGGCAGGTGACTGAAGCTCCCAGCCTCTCCTTTTTTTCTTTCTTTCTTTTTTTTTTTATTCTGGGATTTATTTACTTTCTATGGCTGTCACTGGAGCTGAGAGCCGGCTTTAGCTCTGAGGCCGGCTCCAGCTTGAGGCCTCAGCTGCTGAAAGCAGATATCTGGGCTTTGTTTAGCTTCTATAATTGAAACTCTGTTGCCATCACTGCCGCTCTAAGCTCTGAGCCCGCTGCCGGCTGAAAGCAGGTTTCTGGAGCTTGTTTAGCTTCTATAATTGCAACATTGTTGCATCCGGAGCTCAGAGCTGGGCGGCGGCAGTCGGGGAACCTTGGCTTCCTCCATCACTGGAGCAAGCAAGCCTCCTGTTCGCTTCAGCTGCCTGGCTGCCGGCCGCCATCTTGGTTGGCAGTTAATTTGCATATCCTGCTGATTAGCCAATGGGAAGCATTCGGGGGTATGGTCAATTTGCATGTTTCTCTTTTATTAGATAGGATGTGTCAGTTTTTATGCTAGTACCATGCTGTTTTGATTACTCTAGCCTTGTAGTTTAGTTTGATATCAGGCAGTTTGATACCTCCCACTTTTTCTTTTTGAAGATTGCTTTGGCTGTTCAAGGTTTTTTTTTTGTGGTTCCATAGCAATCTTAGGATTATTTTTTCTAGTTCTGTGAAAAATGCCATTGTTATCTTGATAGGCATTGCATTTGAATCTGTGGATTGCTTTGGGTAATGTGGACATTTAAACGATGTTAATTTTTCCTATCTATGAGTACTGTATAACCTTCCATTTTTTGGTATGTCCTTCAGTTTCTTTCTTCAGAGTCTTATAGTTTTCTGAGTACAGATCTTTCTCTCCTTGGTTAAATTTCTTCCTGGGCATGTTATTCCTTTTGATGGAATTGTAAGTGGGAGTGTTTTTAATCTCTATTTCTGATAGTTTGTTATTGCTGTATAAAAATGCACCCTATTTCTGAATATTTTGTATTTTGCTACTTCACTGAATTTATTAGTTCTAGTGGGTTTTTTGGCGGAATTCTTTAGGGTTCTCTCTTGTATGATGTCATCTGCAAATAGTGACAATTGTACTTCTCCCTTTCCAGTTTGGTTGGCGTTTATTTATTTTTCTTGTCTCATTTCTGTGGCTAGTACTTCTGTTACTATGTTGAATAAAAATGGTGAAAGTGGACATACTTGTCTTATTCCTGATATTAAAGAAAAAGTTTTTGGCTGTTCACCATTGAATATGATGTTAGTTGTGGGTTTGTCATATATGGCTTTTATTATGTTGAGGTATGTTTGTTTTCTCTATTCCCACTTTGCTGAGAGTTCTTAAAAAATCACAAATGGATGCTGGATTATGTCAAATGCTCTTTCTACATCTATTGTAATGATTATATGATTTTTATTCTTAATTTTATTTATGTAGTATATCCTTTTAATTGATTTGTGGATATTGAATTAGCCTTGTACTCCAGCTATAAATTTGCTTGATCATGGTGTATGATCTTCTTAATGTATTGCTGAATTCAGTTTGCTAATATTTTGTTGAGGAATTCTGCATCTATGTTCATCAGGGATATTGGCCTATAATTTTTTGTAGTGTCTTTGTCTGGTTTTGATATTAGGGTAATGCTAGCTTTCTGAGATGAGTTTGGGAGCATACCCCCTCTTTAATTTTTTGGAATAGTTTCGGAGGAATGGGTATTAATTAGTATTTGAATGTTTGCTAAAAATTGCCTGTTAAGCCATCTGTTTCAGGGTTTTTGTTTGTTGGAAGATTGTGATTATTGATTCTATATCATTAGCAGTTATTGGTCTGTTTGTATTTCTCCTTTTTCCTGATTCAGCCTTGGAAGATTGTATGTTTCTAGGAATTTATCCATTTCTTCCAGGTTGCATGATCACTATTTTAAGTGGCTAAGTAATATTCCTTGTAGTGGATCTATCATAATCCATCTATGTATTTCTTTATTATTGGATAATTATATTGCTCCTAATTTTCACTATTGTAAATAATAATATGGGGAACACTATTAAGTGTAAAAGTTATCCCCTCAACATTTAGATTACATCTATATGCTAGAATCTCAGAAAAGCAATTAATATGATTTTTTGGCTTTTTAAAAACATATTGTCAAATTGCTTTCAAAAATACCAAAAGTGGTAGTTTCTTTAAGCTGTTTTACTCTAGATGTTTACTTTCCCCCCTAAATGCCATTTCTTCCTCTGGGAAATTTGGATTCAAATATTGACTCCATGTGTTTTTGATGGAACAAATCAAATGATACTTTATGTTAAAGTCATCATTAGGTCAGCCGTGGCATGGGTTTACTATGTGAGAGAGATGGAGATGAGAATGAGAATTAGCCCCAGCATAGTTAGTTAAATGACAGCAGTGCTAAATAAATAATCTACCTCATCAGAAAAATGTGGAAATGTAGGTAAGAAAAGTGATACTAGAGAAAATAAAATTAAAATACAATTGTGCACCTTCAATGTACATAAAATAGGTGGGTTTTTTTTGCTCATCCAGTTAGTATTACTATCTACCAATATGTTTATTAGGACCAATTATTTTCTTCAGAGGTCCTTGCCAGAAACCAGCCTGTCCCCAATTTTTTTATAAATCCTCACCAGAGGATATTTTTCCATTGATTTTTAGAGAGAGTGGAAGGGAAGGGGAGAGACAGAGAGAGAAACATAAATGTGAGAGAGACACATTGATTGCTTGCCTCCTGCACACACCCTGACCAGGGCTGGGAATCGAGCCTACAACTGAGGTATGTGCCCTTGACTGGAATTGAACCTGGGACCCTTCCGTCCGCAGGCCAACGTTCTATCCACTGAGCCAATTTGGCTAGAGCAAATTAACATTTTTTGGTGTCTTCATTTAATCCCTGAGACACTATGAAATTGATTTATTTTTGCATCTGATAGAAAGATAAACCCCAGAAGAAGCTGCTAGAAACTTTGCCCTCTACTCTCTACAACAAAACAATGAAACAAATTTTATTATTTGAGTATATATTCTTTATTTAGGACTTTGACAGGTACTATAAGTGCTCCATAAGTTTTATAAGACATGATCTTTGATATCAAGGAGCCTAGTTTGGAAATAAGAATAACAACTAAAATAAAGAATAAATGATACACAATAGCATAATTAATTTCTCAATTATGTGAAACTCAATATAGGAATTCAAGGAAGAGAGAGGTCAGTGTAGGCTGTAGTGATTGCTGAAAGTGTCATGGATGTTCCTGGTGTGAGTGAAGTAGATTTGAGCTATGTAAAGGGAATGGGAGGAGGTATATCAGGTGAAGGTGCATAGAAAAAAATGGACAATTTGTGTTTATGAGACAGTAAGATAGTTATTTTAACAGTGGGTAAGTTTTGGGAATGAAAGGTAGAATATGACTAGATTAAAGAGGGCCCGTAAGTGACCCACAATAGTACAGAAGCATAAAATATACAAGGAAGAAAATATCATTGGAGATGGACAGTATTTTAACTGGCTAAGAAAATGTTTCTCTTGTCTAGGTTGAAGAAATGGCAGTAAACCTGTGGAACTGGGCAGTTACCAAGAGAGTCGGTTTGGTTATAAGTAAAGAGCAGAAAGCTAAATGTACGTATATATTTTATGACCCGTGAGGAGTATTCTTATTATAAATCAGGTTATGTTCCAGCAATTGAAATAATATTTTGACCAATTCTTAGATGGAAATTTGTTAAAATAAGACTAAGCAAAACAACCCATAAACAGTGGTTTCTCAAGCAAAGAGCCTCCCTCAGTTTTATAATTTTTCCGAAATTAGCTCCATATTAATAAAAGTTTAAAAGCATCACTGCAAGAAATAGGCTGGTGGTAAACAACAAAGATGATTAAAGGGTGGGAAAATGAGAACTTGAGGGAACATTAAAAGACATGGATAATTTTCTTTGGAGAAGAGATGTTCTGGGTTCTGAAGGACCATCAAATAGTAGTTTTCTCTCTCCATTGAAAATATAGAAAAAAAATGCTGCTATATGAGGGATTTGGATTTAAAATATCTGTAATGATTAGTTTCCTCATGAGGTTGGTTGATGAACATTGGACTGAGAAAAAGAAGTTTTTTTCTACCTAAGAGCAAACAACAACAAAACAAAAACCCTAAACCAAGCTCATCTGCTTGGATGCATTAAATGTGGTTCACTGGCAAAGTTCTAGCGCTTAAGCCAGGGGTGGGCAAACTTTTTGACTCGAGGGCCACAATGGGTTCTTAAACTGGACCGGAGGGCCGGAACAAAAGCATGAATGGAGTGTTTGTGTGAACTAATATAAATTCAAAGTAAACATCATTACATAAAAGGGTACGGTCTTTTTTTTTTTTTTTTTTTAGTTTTATTCATTTCAAAGGGGGCCGGATCCGGCCCGCGGGCCGTAGTTTGCCCACGGCTGGCTTAAGCAAAATAAGCAGGGTTTAGTGTGCTCACAGTTACTGATTTCCAACAAGGATAGTGACAATGTAATTTTGGAAATTATTTTGCCCAATTATAAAGGATACATTGAGGCAGTAGTCTAATAGGTAAATGTCTGGACTGGTTGGCTTTGTGAAGATAAATAAATTTTATCTGTATGTAACAAAATTTATTACCAAGTATTTATCTTTATAAATATAAACCAAACTGTGCACAACTTTAGTATAGGTATAGAGTAATGGTTAATAAAGTTGATAATATACTTACTCAGTAGTCCACTCCTCTATTAAGATGTTTTTAAAGACCAGTTCTATCTTTTTAACTCATAAATGTTGATATCATTGCTCCTAGAAGCCTTAGTTCCTGTAGTTATGGGGAGGGAATAGTTAGAAACTTATTACACAGGTGAACTGTGTTAGATTAAAATGCATTAATTCTAAACTCCCACCATTCTGCATATCAAGGAACATTGCTCTAGCTGTTTTTCACTGCTTGTCAAGTACTAGGGATTTGGTAAATGAAGTGGGAGCTGCAGCCCTAGGACTTCTCCCAGTGTGCTGACTCTGTGCATGTAGCACTTCTTAAACAGATATTCGGGTGCTTATTATAGTACTTTTAAGATAATAGTGGAAAACAGGATGTCATGCAGGAAGCCTCTGATTTAAAAGAGTTTTATTCCAAAAAGATGTTGTTGGAAGATACTTTGACTCCTTAAAACAAATTCAGTGTGAATGGATTATGTTATGTGATGAAAAAAGTCATCAGGATTTATAGGCTACTGTTTTTATTATTGTGAAGAATTATGGAACAATGAAAAGAAATAGGAAAGCCAAAATAGGGGAATGACATAAATTGTATTTTAGACTTGCTGCATTTGAGGAAACAATAAGGTTGGCGATATGAGAAAAGTCAGCCTCCATGTAGATTTGGTAGGTATTCACATGGAGGTGATTATTGAAGCCCCAGATGTAGTTGAATTCTCTGAGGAAGAAAATAAAGAGCAACGGTTCTTAAATGTTGGTATAAATAAGGTTCACCTGTGGAGTCTGTTACATTACAGATGCCTAGGCCCCACCATGGTGGTTTTGACTTAGGTTTAGATTGAAACCTGGGTATATTTGTAATTTGAAAAAAATTCTCATGTATACCAAATTTTAAGAACCAATGGTGTTGAGAAAACAGAGTAGTGCAATTTTAACCTTGAGTCTTCCAAGTCCTGGAAAAACAAGAACAAGGGTAGGAGACATAAAGAAGGTCAAATATTCTAGCCCACACTCATTACCCATTTATTGAACACATATTGTGATAGGGTTGTCATACCACATTATGGTAGATAGTAGGTGAAAGGGACAAGATAAGAGTCCAGAACAAAAAATACCTTGAGGATCTGGGAAGGAATGGGTAAATGAACAAGAAAAAGACTTCACAAATGCCAGAGCATACAACACTATGTATTGTTTACTAGTAAAGTCAATTCAACTATCAAGCTGTGGGCACTGATAGAGCAGGGTAAGGCAGATGTAAGGAGTCAGCAGGCACCTATCCAAGATATTTATAATGTAGAGGCGCCAAGAACAGTCTGGTGAAAAGACAAGGATAGAGGAATGGCATTAAAAAATCTTTATACTGAAGCGGCATTCTTTCTCAGCTTCAGCTAGCTGCCTTTGGCCTAAAGGCTTGTTGGTGATAACTATAATCAGCTGGATCAAGAATGTGGGGATGGGTGCAAAATTCTTAGACTGAGACATTTCCCACAGAGGGACACTGCTCAAAGCTGTGATGTCAAGGAAGTATATTTTTTAAAAAAAGGTTATGATCACTGTGAAATGTTGCTGTGAAGTCACAGAAGGTGATCTCCCCCCCCTTTAATTATTTTATTTTAAAAAGAATTTTTTCTTTATTATTATTTTTAAAAATGCATCTTTATTGTTGAAAGTATTACAGATGTCCCCCTTCCCCCCTGCCATTGACCCCCTCCTCTAACACCCTCCCCAGGCTTTCAGCACACTATTATCTGTGTCCATAGGTTATGCTTATATGCATATAGTTGTTTGGTTTAATCTCTTTCCACCCCTCACCCCCTCCTCCCCACTTCCCTCTAAGAATCCTCAGTCTGTTGCATGCTGGAAGGTGATCTTTGGTAGTGCAGTTTTAGCTAAGTGGTAAGGATGCAAAAATATTGCAGGGGCTTAAGGAGATGAGTGAGAATTAAGAAAATAGAGGTAGTAGATAGACCATCAATTCAAGAAGTTTGGCAATGAAAGGAAGAGGAGAAATGGGATGGAAGCTTGAAGCATAGTGGGGTTGATTCTTTTTTCTTCGAGGAAGGGAGATGGATGTATTTGAAGGTAGAGAGAAAAGAGTAAATTGAGAGGGAGGTACTGAAGGTAACTTTGGAGAGGGGAAATAATCAAAAGATCAGGCTCCTTAAGAAAACTGCAGCCCAGCCTGAGTGATTCAGTGGTTGAGCATCGACCTGTGAATCACGGTTCAATTCCCAGTCAGGGCACATGCCTGGCTGTGGGCTCGATCCCCAGCAGGGGGTGTGCAGGAGGCAGCTGATCAATGATTCTCATCATTGATGTTTCTAGCTCCCTCTCCCTCTCCCTTCCACTCTGAAATAAATAAAAATATATTTTTAAAAAACCTGCAGAATTAGTAAACTTTGGAAAAAATAAAGGAAACATTTAAAAATCTGGAAATGCAAGACAATGTAAATATATGATTACTAGAGGCCTGGTGCACAGATTCATGCACCGGAAGGGTCCCTCAGCCTGGCCTGAGCCTTCTTGCAATCTGGGATGTGGGTGAAGCAGATTCAGGGCCGATAGTGCCCTAGCAACAACCTAACCCACAGCCGATTCTGTGAGGAATTGGGCTCCCTCCTCCCTTCTCTCTGGGTCCAGGGTGCGTGCGGGTGAAGCAGATTTGGGGCTGACAGTGCCCCAGCAGCAACCTAACCCATGGCCGATTCCAAGAAAAATTGGGCTCCCTCCTCTACTGGTCGTAGCGTCTGCCACCTGGTGGTCATTGCGCATCACGCTTAGGCTTTTATATATATATATATATATATATATATATAGATTGGTTATTTTACTGAAAGTGTTTGTTTTTGTTATTTTAGAAATAAATAAACTTTGTTAAGGAATGAATAGATTTTTCATTTCATGATGGATAATAAATATCTACTCCAGTTACCCTGTAATTTCAGCTGAGCAAATCTCTTTTCAATTGAATATTAATTAAAAAATGGTTTTAGCATAGGTAGAAGAGTTACTGAGACTTAACATCAAGACAGCTAGTTCAGTTATGTGTGAAATTATCCTTTAAAAAATTGGATATGTTTTATGATGAAAGAAACTACACAAACAAGAAAGTTACACTTATTCAAACTTTCCTATTTTCACGGGAAGCGAACTGTATAATGAAGATATTTGTATTTTCTAAATTATATTTTAAGAACTTTTATGTCATCTTTGGCAAAGAATATATTTAGAAAGTTTCAAATTTAGGAGACTAATCCCTAACTATCCTTATATTGTTCCACATAGAATTATATGGTTGTTAGCACATACAAGACAGCATGTGAAACCAGGTATCTTCAGTGAGTCTTTGGGGCTTAAAACCTGCAGAAATTAAAATTTCAAAATTCAGTATCTGTCTGACTAACATTAAGCAAATTATTCATTTGATAAATATCAGATCACTTACTTTTAATAATTGAGTTTTTAAAAGCCTTTACAACTATTATATTTAACAACAATACTTGTTTCATTTCACATCTCTTTTCATATGTTTATAAAAAAGAATGAATGTTTTATGTTTATGGGTGTCTAATTACTGTTTTTGCAGTACGGCATGTTGCTTGCAAGTTGCTGTGTATGTGTGAAAGCTCAGCTGCTTCAGAAGAAGCTATTCACAGACGGATTTTGGTAAGTCCTAATTAAATGAGGACAAAGTACAGATGCAATGAGATAGTTATTACTCTATGAAGATGGTTGAAGTTAGTGTAAACTGGAAGAAGGTTATATCCTTTAGTGTATTCATGTTTCCTTTTCTTTTTTTAAAAAAATTCTTTATTGTTTAAAGTGTTACATGTCTCCTTTTTCCCCCATTGATCTCTCCCCGGCTATTCCCACCCTGAGACATGCCCCCACCTCCCTACTGTCTGTGTCCATGGGCCATGCCCATATGCATGTATACAAGTCCTTTGGTTGCTCTCTTACCTTCCCCCTCCCCTGCCTTCCCTCTGAGGTTGGATGGTCTGTTCGATGCTTCTATGTCTCTGGATCCACTTTAGTTCATCAGTTTATGTTGTTCATTATATTCCACAAATGAATGAGATCATATGACATTTATTGTTCTCCAATGGGCTTATTTCACTTAGCATAATGCTCTCCAAGTCCTATTATACTGTTGCAAATGGTAAGAGTTCCTTCTTTTTTTACAATAGCGTAGTATTCCATTGTGTAGATGTACAATGGTTTTTTATTTATTTTATTATATTTTTTGTACCATGGTTTTTTAATACACTCATCTGCTGATGGGCACTTAGGCTGTTTCCAAATCATAGCTATTGCAAATTGTGCTGCTAGGAACATAGGGGTGCATATATCCTTTATGATTGGTGTTTCTGATTTCTTGGGATATATTCCTAGAAGTGGGATTACTGGGTCAAATGGGAGTTCCATTTTTAATTTTTTTGAGGAAACTCAATACTGTCTTCCATAGTGGCTGCACCAGTCTGCATTCCCACCAGCAGTGCATGAGGGTTCCTTTTTCTCCACATCCTCGCCGGTACTTGTTGATTGTTGGTTTGTTGATAATAACCATTCTGACAGGTGTGAGTTGGTATCTCATTGTCATTTTGATTTGCATCTCTCAGATGATTAGTGACTTTGAGCATGTTTTCATATGTCTTTCAGCCTTATGTATGTCCTTTTTTGAAAAGTGTCTATTTAGGTCCTTTGCCCATTTTTTGATTGGATTGTTTATCTTCCTTTTGTTGAGTTGTATGAGTTCCCTATAAATGTTGGAGATTAAACCCTTATCAGAGATAACATTGGCAAATATGTTCTCCCATGCAGTGTTTTGTTGTTTTGTTGATGGTTTCTTTTGCTATGCACAAGCTTTTTATTTTGATGTAGTCGCATTTCTTTACTTTTTCCTTAGTTTCCATTGTCCTAGGAGCTGTATTGGTAAAGATACTGCTTTGACATATGTCTGCTATTTTGCTGCCTATGGATTCTTCTAAGATTTTTATGGTTTCCTATCTTTTGTTTAAGTCCTTTATCCGTTTTGAGTTTATTTTTGTGTATGGTGTAAGTTGGTGGTCTAGTTTCATTTTTTGCATGTATCTGTCCAGTTTTCCCAACACCATTTATTGAAGAGATTGTCTTGACTCCATTGTATGCTCTTTCCTCCTTTGTCAAATATTAATTGAGCATAATGGCTTGGGTCGATTTCTGGGTTCTCCATTCTGTTCCATTGGCCTATATGTCTGTTCTTGTGCCAGTACCAGGAAGTTTTGAGAATAGTGGCTTTGTAATATAGCTTGATATCTGGTATTGTGATCCCTCCAACTTTGTTCTTTCTCAGGATTACTGTGGCCTTTGGGAGTGTTTTTTTTTTAATTGCATATAAATTTTTGGAGAGTTTGTTCTAGTTCTGTGAAATATGCCATTGGTATATTAATGGGGGTTGTATTGGATCTATAGATTGCTTTGGGTAGTATGGACATTTTAATGATGTTGATTCTACCAATCCATAAACAGGTATATTCTTTCATTTGTTTATGTCTTCCTCTATCTCTTTTTTCAACGTCCTGTAGTTTTCGAAGAACAGGTCTTTTACCTCCTTAGTTAAGTTTATTCCTAGGTATCTTAATTTTTTTGTTGTAATGGTAAAAGGGATTGTTTTTTTAGTTTCTCTTTCTGTGAGTTCATTATTGGTGTATAAAAGAGCCATAGATTTCTAGGTGTTAATTTTGTATCCTGCCACATTGCCGAATTCACTTATTAAGTCTAATAATTTTTGATGGAGTCTTTAGGGTTTTCTATGTACAGTATTATTTCATCTGTGAATAATGACAGGTTTACGTCTTCTTTTCCAACTTGGATAACTTTTATTTCTTTTTAATGTCTAATTGCTATGGCTAGCACTTCCAGTACTATGTTGAACAGGAGTGGTGAAAGTGGGCATCCCTGTCTCATTCCTGTTCTTAAGTTAAATGGTTTTAGTTTTTGCCCATTGAGTATAGGTTTGTCATATAAGGCTTTTATTATGTTGAGGTATGATCCCTCTATTCCCATTTTGCTGAGGGTTTTTATCAAGAAAGGGTGTTGGATTTTGTCAAATGCTTTTTCTGCATCAATTGATATGACTATGTGATTTTTATCTCTGAATTTATTTATGTGATGTATCGTGTTTATTTATTTGCAGATATTGTACCATCTTTGCATCCCCGGGATAAATCCTACTTCGTCATGGTATATAATCTTTCTGATGTAATTCTGGATTTGATTTGCTAGATTTTTGTTGAGGATTTTGGCATCTATGTTCATGAGGGATATTGGCCTGTAATTCTCTTTCATTGTGTTGTCTTTATCTGGCTTTGGGATTAGGGTAATGCTGGCTTCATAGAATGTGCTTGGAAGTGTTCTTTCCTCTTGAATTTTTTGGAATAGTCTGAACTCCCCTGTAAAGCTGTCTGGCCCTGGGCTTTTGTTTGCTGGAAGCTTTTTGATGACTGCTTTAATTTTCTCCATAGTTATCAGCCTATTGAGATTTTTAGATTCTTCCTGATTGAATTTTGAAGGTTGTATTTTTCTAGGAATATGTCCATTTCCTCTAGGTTGTCTAGTTTGTTGGAATAGAGTTGTTCATAGTATTTTTTTAACAATCCTTTGTATTTCTGTGGGGTCTGTTATTATTTCACCTCTTTCATTTCTGATTTTGTTTATTTGGGTCCTCTCTCATTGCTTCTTGGTGAGTCTGGCTAGAGGTTCAACAATCTTTCAACTTGTTACTTTAAGGGGAGAAAGCAAGAGGTGTTCTCACTCCATCATGATGCTCATGTCATTCCCAATTAACTTTTGATTTATCAGTTTATATAGGGTCTATTTTTCTGCTATGATGGAAGAAGATTTATCTCTTATTTTCTAATATTACTTTCTCTTACTCCCCATTTTGTTTTGTTTTTTGTTAATTATACTATTTCTATTTATCTGATGGTTACCTTTTAAAACTTTAAATAACAAACTTTACATTTTTATTTTTACATCAATTTTGGAGAGTATGTCTTTACTTTCCATTCGGAGAGCATATAAGTACCTTTATCATTCTCTCTACCTTTCCTTACCTTAAACCAGTGGTTCTCAACCTTCTGGCCCTTTAAATACAGTTCCTCATGTTGTGACCCAACCATAAAATTATTTTCGTTGCTACTTCATAACTGTAATGTTGCTACTGTTATGAATCATAATGTAAATATCTGATATGCAGGATGGTATTAGGCAACCCCTGTGAAAGGGTCATTCGACCGCCAAAGGGGTCGCGACCCACAGGTTGAGAACCGCTGCCTTAAACCTTTTAACTTATGTCACCTTTAACATTTGCATTTTTGGCTTTGTTGATTCAAAGGATAAAAACTGAAAGGAGCATTTTATTGGTTGTGACTACTATTTAATTCTGTGGATAATAGTGGTATTTCTCTTTATTTTCTTGCTCTCTTAATATTTTCTCAGGTATTCTATTTGTTGAGTGTGATGTCCTTTTATGGTAATCACTAGGGGCCCGGTGCATGAAGATTCATGTACTGGGGGGCTGGGAGGGTGGAGGGAGGGGTCCCTCAGCCCAACCTGCACCCTCTCTAATCTGGGAGCCCTCAAGGGAGCCCTCTCCAATCCGGGGGTTCCTGTCTGTCTTTGCAATCATATGAACGAATTGTCTGAGACCCCCAACCCAGTTTGGTTTGTTGTTCACAGAATAATAGAGGCTTTTTTTTTCTTTGCTCCATTGGTGGAGATTTCCTGGAAGTTTTAGGATATCTTCCTTTTAATTTTTCTTAGACACTCTGATTTTACTTATGTCTCTTCCCTTTGCTTTTTCTCCATCCCCAACTGCAACAGTAACTTGCTCTAGGCTCACTTTGTTCTAGTGTCTAGGAGAACTACAATTCCCAGCATTCCTGGTGCTCCCTGCGCTTTGGGCTTCCACTTCCAGTCCTGGGGCTGCCATCAGAACTACTATTCCCAGAATTCCTGGTGCTCCCCATGCTCTGGGTTTTCAGGACCAAGGGAGCCACGTTCCCCCAAGCCTCTGGCTCTCCTGCTCTGCTCTCCATCCAGTGACCAAGGGAGCCATGATCCCCCAAGCTGCCAGCTCTCCCACTCTGCTCTGTGTATGCAAATTACCTACCATTTTTGTCGGGTTAATTTGCATACTATTTTCTCATTGGCTGGTGGGCGTGGCTTGAGCATAGTGGAGGGACTGTTAATTTGCATGTTTCTCTTTTATTATATAAGGATTCCCTCAATTGTTTGGTCATTGTTGCTCATATTTGATTTGAGATTCCTTGATAGTTTTCTGTAAATACACTATTTACCATAACCTGAATCAGTGACTGATGGAGAAGTAGGACTGGATTCTTCAATTGACCTGTGTTGTCAGTCACCTGGAATTCTACTTTTTTCCAGCCTAAGTGATTGTACTCATGATTCCTTCCTGGGTGAGAAAGGAGGAGATACCTCTTGTGGGGAAGCCAACTGTCTGATACTCCTGCTATTCACACCCATAATGTTTCTGCATTTTTCATTTTTGTGCATTTTTGGGATGGTGGTTTGACCTCATCCCATTTGCTGTCTATTTTTTAGAGGTTTCTCATTAATTTAGGTCAACTAAAAATGCCCCTTATTTCCAGGACTCTTGTTAAAAAATATGTATATTTTTATGATTTCAGCATGGATGGGAGAGGAAGAGAGAGATAGAAACATCAATGAGGAGAGAGAATCATTGATCAGCTGCCTCCTACCTGCCCCCCTACTGGGGATTGAGCCCACAACCCAGGCATGTGCCCTTGACTGGAATTGAACCCGGTACCCTTCAGTTTGCAGGCCGATGCTCTATCCACTGAGCAAAACCAGCTAGGGACAGGACTCTTATTGAATAAGAAAAATATGTATATCTTTTCTCTTATTTATAGAGAATATATATAAATTCCTAGAAATAATATATATGTAAAATATGATATACTTAATATAATGTATCTAATATTACATATATCATGTCCAGGGATTTATAGTCTATAAAGTTTATACTAAAATTATAGCATATATGCTAGATATAAATTTATAGTATCCAAAATTTATAGTATAATATATATATGTATATATGCATACACACACACAGACACACACTGCATTTCTAGGGGCTTATAACACAAAGGGTGGCTGTAGTGTGTGCTCAGTTCTTCATCTTTATTCAGTTCTTCTTTGCTTCCATAGCATTTGTGCATATTTCATATCAAATATTTATTTAGATGTCTGTCAGTTACAATACTGTGAGCTTCTTCAAGGTGCCTGGCATATAAAGGATACTTAATAGACATTTGTTGGATTAATAAAAAAATTTATTAGAGATATGATTTAAAACTAGAACCCAGGTGTTGTTCACTTATAGTTTAATGTTTATCATATAACTTTCTTCATATATGTGAGCATTTTGTCTTATCTAAATAATCCCAATGTTTTCTTTTTAATATTTCCTTAGAAGATGTCTTTTCAAGTATATTAAATTTTTTTTAATCCTCACCCAAGGACATGCATAGAGAGAGGAAGGGAGAGAGAAGGAGAGAAAGGGAGAGAGAAAGAAAGAGAGGCATCGACGTGAGAAAGAAACATCAGTTGGCTTCTGCACACTCCCTGATTGGGGATCAAACCTGCAAACCAGGTATATGCCCTGGCTTGAAATTAAACTGGCAACCCCTCAGTGCATAGGATTACACTCAACCAACTGAGCCACTCCAGCTGGGCAAGTCTATTACTTAACTTATTTTATAAATATGTTTTTAAAAAAATATATATTTTTATTGATTTCAGAGAGGAAGGGAGAGGGAGAGAAACATCAATGATGAGAGAGAATCATTGATCGGCTGCCTACTGCACACCCCACACTGGGGATTGAGCCCACAACCTGGGCATGTACCCTGACAGGGAATCAAACCATGACCTCCTGGTGCATGGGTCAAGGCTCAACCACTGGCCGGGTTATTAATTTAAAAATATTTTTATTGATTTCATAGAGGAAAGGAGAGGGAGAGAGAGATAGAAACATCAATGATGAGAGAAACATCAATCATTGATCAGCTGCTGCTTGCCCGCCCCACACTGGGGATTGAGCCCAAAACCCAGGCATATGTCCTACTGGGAATCAAACTGTGGTTCATAGGTCGATGCTCAACCACTGAGTCATGCTGCCCGGGCTATTTTTATTATTGCTTTTCTAAAACTATTCCTCTTAAATTATGGAGTTCAAAGCAGAACACAGAACTCTAATAAACGCTGATTGTTACCTTTTTGTTTTCTGTGGATTACACTACTGAATATGGACATTTTCTTCAGTACCCTCCTCAACCAGTTTGGAGGAGGTGTGATTAAAAAATGTATTTTCTAATCTCTCTCTTCCAGATGACTATGAAAGCAGGAAAAGGGTGGGTGGATGTTGGAAATGCTGTGATCGCTGATGAATTTTTTCAAGCTGCTGTGGCTGTAAGTTACCACTGATTTTTTTTAGCTGTGGCAATTATTAGTAACAGTTTTTATTCTCATTATTACATAGTATTGTTGTTTTATTTTCCAGGGGTTGGAGCAATTATATGCCAAATTAATGCAGAGCAGCTTCACTGAGACCCAAGTGACTATGCAGAAGTTGGCTGTGGAGAGGAATCTTTTCAAAGTGCTTTCTTACCAAGCAGAGTCAGTAGGTATCATAGTCATCAGGACCTCACAGTGAGGCATTTGGTATATGTAAATGCGAAAGTGATGATCTATTATAAGAAAGTCAGGTATCATTAGCCTTTCATCTATATACTAGAGGCCTGTGGTACATGAAGTTCATGCACGGGGAGGGGGGTGTCCCCTGAGCCCAGCCTGCACCCGGGATCGGGCCAAAACTGGCAGTCGGACATCCCTCTCACAATCCTGGACTGCTGGCTCCTAATTGCTCACCTGGCTGCCTGCCTGGTCGCCCCTAACTGCCACCCCCCAACAGCCTGATCGCCCCTCACTGCCTCTGCGTGCTGGCCTGGTCGCCCCTAACTTACCCCGCTGCCGGCCAGGTTGCCCCCAACTGCCCCCTCCCTGCCATCCTGATCGCTCCTAACTGCCTCCCCTGCTGGCCTGGTCACCCCTTACTGCCCCCCCTGCCGGCCTGGTTGCCCCAACTGCCCCCCCTTGCCGGCCTGGTTGCCCCCAACTTCACACCCCCAGCCAGCCTGCTCACCCCATGCAGCCTGCTGTTCAGTCATTTGGTCGTCCTTCACTAAGCCCCCTGCCAGCCTGGTCACCCCATGCAGCCTGCTTGTTCAGTCATTTGGTCGTCCCTCACTAACCCCCCTGCTGGCTTGGTCACCCCATGCAGCCTGCTTGTTCAGTCGTTTGGTTGTCCCTCACTAACCCTCCTGCCGGCCTGGTCATAGGCAGCCATCTTGTGAGGGTGTGAGGGGGTAATTTGCATATTACCTCTTTATTACATAGGATATAAAAGCCTAAGAGACCGATATGACCAAATGACCGGTCGACCAGTCGCTGTGACATGCACTAACCACCAAGGGGCAGATGCTCAATGCAGGAGCTGCCCCATGGTGGTCAGTGTGCTACCACAGCCAACCTCCTGTGGCCCCTCCCCCTCCACCCTGACCAAACTCCTGGGGCCTCTCCCCCCAGCCAGCCGGCCCCCGATAGGCCTCAGTGGCCCTCCAGACCGAGGGATCCCACCTGTGCACAAATTCGTGCACGGGGCCTCTAGTAAGATTATATTTGACCTTTTTAGAAGTCCAATGTGCTATCCATTGCACGACGGAGCCTATATTTGACCTGTTTTATCTCTGTTTTGTATCTGAAGGTAACATTACTGATGGTGATTGGTATATATGTGGGGTTGGATGAAGTTGAAAAGACTGATATATAACTAAACATAATTTTACCACTGCATGTAATATCTCTGTTATTTATGGCAGTAGCCTCTACTTGAAACACCCATCTTTGTGACTCTCTTACATTCACAGTCTGGTCTGCCTAAAATATGTGCTTGATAAGAGTCTTCTCATTTGCAATTGTTCTGGGTTGTTTGCTGATGTTTTCTAAAAGTCTGCTGCTATCAGTGTTCCAAGTTGTACTTTACCTCTGTTTTTCTTCTGGATTTCCTCCTTTTGTCACCATACATTTAGGTGTACATTTTAAGTTGATAAAATGTTAGCCGTGATGAGTTTGTGCTCTATAATTATTATGTAATTCTAGAAATGAAAGTGATCTTAAACATCATCTAGAGCAGTGGTCGGCAAACTGCGGCTCGTGAGCTACATGCGGCTCTTTGGCCCCTTGAGTGTGGCTCTTCCACAAGATACCACATGCGGGCACGCATGTACAGTGCGATTGAAACTTCGTGGCCCATGTGCAGAAGTCGGTATTTTCTGGAAGAGCCACACTCAAGTGGCCAAAGAGCCGCATGTGACTCGCGAGCCGCAGTTTGCCGACCACTGATCTAGTGTAATCCTTTTATTTTTCTTAACATTTATTTTTTTAAATTTTTTATTGATTAAGTTATTACATATATGTCCTTATCCCCACATTAAACCCCATCCCTCTGACACATGCCATCACCCCCCTGTTGTCTGTGTCCATTGGTTAGGCCTATATGCTTGCATATAAGTCCTTTGGTTGATCTCTTCCCCTTACCCCCACCCTCCCCTACCTTCCCTCTAAGGTTTGATGGTCTGATCGATGCTTCTCTGTCTCTGGATCTGTTTTTTTTTTTTAATCAGTTTATGTTGTTCATTACATTCCATAAATGAGTGAGATCATGTGATATTTATCTTTCTCTGGCTGGCTTATTTCACTTAACATAATGCTCTCCAGTTCCATCCATGCTGTTGCAAATGGTAAAACTCCTTCTTTCTTACTGCAGCGTAGTATTCCATTGTGTAGATGTACCAAAGATTTTTAATCCACTCATCTACTGATGGGCACTTAGGCTGTTTCCAAATCTTAGCTATGGTGAATTGTGCTGCTATGAACATAGGGGTGCATATATCCTTTCTAATTGGTGTTTCTAGTTTCTTGGGATATATTCCTAGAAGTGGGATCACTGGGTCAAATGGGAGGTCCATTTTTAGTTTTTTGAGGAAACTCCATACTGTTCTCCACAGTGGCTACACCAGTCTGTATTCCCACCAGCAGGGAGTGAGGGTTCCTTTTTCTCCACATCCTCTCCAGCACTTGTCGTTTGTTGATTTGTTGATGATAGCCATTCTGACAGGTGTGAGATGGTACCGCATTGTCATTTTGATTTGCATCTCTGATGATTAGTGACTTTGAACATGTTTTCATATGTCTTTTGGCCTTTCTTCTGTCTTCTTTCGAAAAGTATCTATTTAGGTCCATTGCCCATTTTTTGATTGGGTTGTTTATCTTCCTTTTGTTAAGTTGTATGAGTTCCCTGTAAATGTTGGATATTAAACCCTTATCGGTGATAACATTTGCAAATATCTTCTCCCATGCAGTGGACTTTCTTGTTTTGTTGATGGTTTCCTTTGCTGTGCAAAAGCTTTTTATTTTGATGTAGTCCCATTTATTTATTTTCTCTTTAGTTTCCATTGCCCTAGGAGCAGTATCAGTGAAGAAATTGCTTCATCATATGTCTGAGATTTTGCTGCCAGTGGATTCCTCTAGTATTTTTATGGTTTCCTGTCTTATGTTTAAGTCCTTTATCCATTTTGAGTTTATTTTTATTTATGGTGTAAGTTGGTGGTCTAGTTGCATTTTTTTGCATGTATCTGTCCAATTTTCCCAACACCATTTATTAAAGAGTCTGTATTGACTCCATTGTATGACCATGCCTCCTTTGTCGAATATTAATTGAGCATAGTGGTTTGGGTCGATTTCTGGGATCTCTATTCTATTCCATTGATCTATATGTCTGTTCTTGTGCCAGTACCAGGCTGTTTTGAGAACAGTGGCTTTGTAATACAGCTTGATATCTGGTATTGAGATCCCACCTACTTTGTTCTTTTTTCTCAGGATTGCTGGAGCTATTTGGGGTCGTTTTTTTATTCCAGATGAATTTTTGGAAAGTTTGATCTAGGTCTGTGAAATATGCCATTGGTATTTTAATGGGAAGTGCATTGAATCTATATATTGCTTTGGGTAGTATGGACATCTTGATGATGTTGATTCTACCAATCCATGAACACTGTATGGTCTTCCATCTGTTTATGTCTTCCTCTATCTCCTTTTTCAGTATCCTGTAGTTTTCCGCATATAGGTCTTTTACCTCCTTAGTCAAGTTTATTCCTAGTTATCTTAATTTTTTTGGTGCGATGATAAGTGGGATTGCTTTTTTAGTCTCTCTTTCTGTAAGTTCATTATTGGTGTATAAAAATGCCATAGATTTCTTGGCCTTAATTTTGTATCCTGCTACATTGCCACATTAATTTATTAAGTCTAGTAATTTTTTGATGGAGTCTTTAGGGTTTTCTATGTAGAGTATCATGTAATCTGCAAATAAGGACAGTTTTACTTCTTCTTTTTCAATTTGGATGTCTTTTATTTCTTCCTCTTGTCTGATTGCAATGGCTAGTACGTCCGATACTATGTCAAACAGGAGTGGTGAGAGTGGGCATCCCTGTCTTGTTCCTGTTTTTAGGGGAAATGGTTTTAGTTTTTGCCCATTGAGTATGATGTTGGCTGTGGGTTTGTCATATATGGCTTTTATTATGTTGAGGTATGATCCTTCTATTCCCACCTTGCTGAGAGTTTTTATCAAGAAAGGGTGTTGTATTTTGTCAAATGCTTTTTCTGCGTCAACTGATATGACTATGTGATTTTTATCTTCCAATTTGTTTATGTGATGTATCACGTTTATTAATTTACGGATATTGTACCATCGTTGCATCCCTGGGATAAATGCTACTTTGTCATGGTATATAATCTTTCTGATGTACTGCTGGATCCGATTTGCTAGCATTTTGTTGAGGATTTTGGCATCTATGTTCATGAGGGATATTGTCCTGTAATTCTCTTTCATTGTGTTGTCTTTATCTGGTTTTGGTATTAGGGTGATGCTGGCTTCATAGAATGTGCTTGGAAGTGTTCCTTCCTCTTGAATTTTTTTGGAATAGTCTGAGGATGATAGGTTTTAGTTCTTCCTTGAATGTTTGGTAGAACTCTCCTGTAAAGCCGTCTGACCCTGGGCTTTTGTTTGCTGGAAGCTTTTTGATGACTGCTTCAATTTCTTCCATAGTTATCAGGCTATTGAGACTTTTAGAATCTTTCTGATTGAGTTTTGGAAGGATGTATTTTTCTAGGAATATATCCATTTCCTGTAGGTTGTCTAGTTTGTTAGAATAGAGTTGTTCATAGTATTTTTTAACAATCCTTTGTATTTCTGTGGGGTCTATTGTTATTTTGCCTCTTTCATTTCTGATTTTGTGTATTTGGGTCCTCTCTCTTTGCTTCTTGGTGAGCCTGGCTAGAGGGCCATCAATCTTGTTTATCCTTTCAAAGAACCAGCTCTTGGTTTCATTGATCTTCTGTATTGTTTTTGTGGTCTCTATGTCATTCATTTTTGCTCTGATCTTTATTATCTCCTTCCTTCTGCTCACTCTGTGCGTTTTTTATTGCTCTCTTTCTAATTTTTTGAGTTGTAGAGTTAGATGATTTATTACCATTTTTTCTTGTTTTTTGAGGTAGGCCTGTAGAGCT